ATTACGTAACCGAAACCTTTTAACTGAAGAACATTTATTGTGCTAACAATGTGTTCAGATTTCAATATCGCATTTGTCATCTCTCTATGACTGTGCGCCTGCAGACGCAAATATTAAGGAGTCTACGATGTTCACACTACACATACGCTATATATGACACCTTAGTGTGTGTAGTGATGAAACGTGGTAGCTTGATGAAAGTTACTTAGTATATAGAGACTTGCAAGATGAAAAACTTTTTTTACAAACATGTTAATCCTGTACAAGGCCCGAGAGCCACTCGAAGTAGAAAGTTACAGAGTAAGAGGCACAGCTTAAGCGGATATGTGGGAAAGATAATGGTTAATCCTTGATTTGAACAGGTTAAGATTACAGGGATTGGAGAAGCATCCTCCGAGGTGTCGATTCCACAAAGTAACGGTTCGTGGGAAGAGTCTGCTCAAGTGGAATACAATGGAATACAAATGGAAATAGGGGTTGTTCGCTACAATCTTCGTAACATGGCGGGTCTTAGCCATGAAGGTTAGAACTAGTAAACCAAAGGAATGTAGTTCGCCTGAACACTTTCCATGGAAATAGCGATAGATCAGCGAGAGGCTTGCGACGTTTTGTCTGTGAGAAAGGGAGTTATAGGGTGGAAAATAATTTGTCTCTCACAAGGACGCGAAGACGCTTTTAGACTCGATCAAGACTGGAAAGTGAAGACTGGGCAACTTCTGCCCATATATGGCAACAGTACTCCATCTTCGGCTTGATCTGGCTCTTGTAACGGTAGAGGATAGCAGGAGGAATCAGGTACTTAATGAAGCGATACACCATCTTTAGATCGCATGTACAAGTTCCACTTGAGTTCTAGGTTAAATTCAAGTCTCAATAGACATTCAAAGAACGGTTCCTCTCTGCGTAAAAGAATTTACAAAGCAGAGAATAAGCAACATATATACGCTATAATGAGTGATAAAGGCTAAAAGAGAACATTATATATTCTTTTATATCTATCATGAATCTTTAAAAATTAATTAATGCTATATGCTTTCTTTACCTGCATTGTCCCCGAGAGTCCAACATATGGAGTACACGGTATACATTTTTAGGGATGTTGTGAGTGACTGAGGGAAGTGGTTACTATTTCGATTAGGGACTATATAGTTGACGAAGTTTTATATTTCCACTAGTGCCAGGGGTCGATGTTCAAATCCAGGTCAAAGCTCGTATTTTTTCTGCTGGTTTCCAAGATAGAAAATGCCTTTCCCATATGGAAGAATAGCACAACAAAATCTCACCATGTTCCATTTCCCTTCATCTGGCCTTTCTTTTTCTATGTACAGGGTCCCTTCAGAATGTGGGCTATCATGGCTCTCTGCAACTTCTTGCTCTTTAAAGATCTTGTTTTTTTGCTAATTCCCCCCCCCACACACACACAAATAACTGTTCTGCCAACCATCTGCACAAGCCCGTTAGGTAGGTTACTCGTTACTTTCCTCTGTTCCTCTTGCCTTTAATATGTCCTATGAGTGTCAAATTCTCCAAGCCATTCGTTCTCATTATGTACTAAACTTTACACAGTAAATAGAGTTAATCAACACGGTCGCTTATTTAAAAATGAATATATCTTTAAATGAAACATTTGGAATTTGCTTATGAGATCGAAACTACACGTCTCTCTGTAACGTTTTGACCGATTCGTTTTCTACGACTTATCTACCCATTGCAGATTATTTAAACTCAGAAAATATTTATTTTGTTTTTAAGTTGTAAGAATTTCTTTTTTGGAGATAATAATGGTTTACTAATACAAGTCTTACTAATTAACCCATAGCTAGGGGGGAGAAGAGGTAGATTCATACCTAATCAGGATTTGATAAATAAACAAGAAATTATAATGTAGATATATAGTGGGGGTCAATTCTATATTACAATCAACATATAAACTGATCCCTCTCTTTGTGACCAGGATAGTTTCTATAGATTTATATTCCAGAGAATGTAAATAAATCTAACACACATACCTGTGTAGTTAATCATTGATTGATTAATTGATTGATTGATTGTTTTTTACGGCTTATCTACCTTTGCAGATTATTTAAAGTCAGAAAATTTTTTTTTTTTTATGTTGTAAGAATTTATTTTTGAAGATAATAATGGTTTATTGATACAAGTCTTACTAATTAACCCATAGCTGGGGGGGGGGGAAGAAAAGATAGATTCATAAGTTTTCAAAGGGTATTTGCGCGTAAGTAAATATAACGAACCGAACGAGAATTTAAATTCAGCTCTCCTATTAATAACTCCGAGTCATTATCCATTACATCACCCGTACATCCAAGCTTACGGCACCTGGAATTCTCAAGCGGTCACCCATCTAGGTACTGACTAGACTCGACATTGTTTAACTACAGTGATCGTACGGGAATCTGTGTTTCAATGTGATGTAGTGCGCTATTTCGGAGGGGAAAAATCTCTTTCACTAAATCCAGCTAGGTTTTCTTTAATTATTATTAAGATATGCGTGATCTCAATAAAACTGTCATGACTTATATTTATGTGAAGCCTAACCTATAAAATATGTTCAAAATGGAATAAATATTGGTATCAAGTCATTCACGAACAAATGTTTTTTACAATTTGAATATCGCTGAATAGAGGCAAAATACCAGTCATACTTTTGTTTCTATGATTTTAAATGTTATAAATTTATAGAAGAATCAAAAACCTAATTTGATAATAATTAATTCAATGAATCCAGAGGTATTATAAAAGGCAGTAAGACTTGAATGATTATGAGGTTAATACAAAAAGAGAGAAAAATGGGAATGACAAGCGAAACAAATCAATTTGCATATCTTAATTACGAAAGCGGCCAACAATGCAAGCCCTAAAAACTAACAAGTTGAGGTAAATGAATATGTCGATTATTTTTCTTAATGCTATAAGCAACTTCGACGTCAGAATGTCGCTGTTGGTGAAGAACCACTCTTACGAACGCCATCTGATTTCATCAACTTTAATGGAATGTTGCAAATAAAGTTAATTACGACTGAGTTTATTAGCACAACTCAAGACGACAGAAAATAATTTTTCAAAGCCCAATAATGTGCGAAATTAACAGACAGGTTATCACCTGATTCAGCTTTTAAAAAAACATGACTACGCCTGCCTTTTTGAAGCTTACATGTATTGACTTACGTCCATATTAATCATTAGTAATGATTGTATATATAGCTTTCATCCTCTCACTAAATTATATTTTACTGATATATAATGTCAGTTGCAGTATAAAGTCGCTGCTTTATACTGCATACACACGACATCCATTACAATAAAGTGTAATTTCACTTCTTTCTATTTTTATTTAACTATTTCAAGAAATGCGAACAAGAATTACAAAACCTTGACTACACACGTGAAACATTTTAAAAATAAAGCTAACAGTTTTAAAATTGTATCCATCATTTTTACTCCATAAATCCACCAATCAAATTTCAAGAGCTGTCATTCAGTTTCTCTTTTACTTTCTACAAAATCAAATTGCAGTATCGATCGTAGTATTCTAATTTCATCACGTTATACCGACACGTAAGTCAAAATGAAGCTATAAAGTTTCAGAAAAAAATGATGAAAAAATACTAATGATGATATTTATGAGAAAGTCGTCATTACATTTTAAATGTACTTTTCTTGTAAATTTTCTTGAATTTCTTCTAACATGTGACAAAAGCTTAAAATATTTTTGAACAAAGACACCTAGACGCAGAGGTGGGGGTTAATGAGTGTGAAAGAATATAAAAAGAAGAACAGCATTGTTAAGGAGCAAGAACAATAAAAAAACATACGTTAAGAAAACAGAAGATAACGATTAATATAGCATTTAAATTTTTGAAGATCAAGCTTGACTGGAAAGCAAGAAGCCTGAAGAGAGTTCTACAAGTGCGATAAAAGAAACTGTTAACATAGAACTTACAGTCTGTGCGTTTTTATTTATTTATTTACTGTATTGGGTAGATTACAGTCGTAACTGGATTCTTTTTATGATTAAATAATTAGACAATTTAGATTCAATTTTAGATTTATCTTTTTTTAATCATACTGTTATGACTAATCAAGAGTGGTCTCCCCTTGTTTTGTTACTCTCCTCTTTGAGAGAGCTATTTCCGTTTACAGGGACTATAAAATGACACTATACACGAACTCAGTATTCTCAGTTGAATAAAGCTTTCTTAAAGCCTACACATGCGTACGTTTGTCATTACATATACATTAAACTAATTTCAAGAAACTTATTATATTCACCATTGATATACAATAGTTCACTGTTTTTATAATCAAACGAATAATAAATTGATCGCATATAGTTATACCTATTTAAAATTATTACCAATCAAAATGAAAAACAAAGCTAACCCGTCTAGTGATTGAGATATTTATATATTCCTCAATTAGTACCACTGCTTACATTTTAAAACCTCAAAATTTCGATTGCTGGTGTTCAAGACATGTGAGGTTTCCCTACTTTGAAGATGCAATATAATCTTTTCTTATCCAAATCTCCACCTTTCTTTTAACTTTTGTCGTATTTAAGAAAAGTTTAGTAAATATCAAGGAAGTGGACCAATGATAAAGGCAAACAAATATTTGGACAGTTACTCCTGCCAGTGTCACGTTGACCCAGTAGTTGAGTATAGAAATTATTAATACTACTAATACAACTACTGCTACCAAAAGAATTTTAAAAGAAATCATTACACTTGTGTCTTGTACATGCAAGTCTTTATAGACTTCAGCTGTCACTCTTTGGTTTATCCCAAGCACACATTATTGAGTTAAACGGACCGAATAGTATCGAATCGAATACTATTGTCGCTTTCAGTAGATTCGAATCGTGTCGATTCTTCAGAGGACAATTTTTAGAAGTACAGGTACAACTGATAAGAAAAGGTCATGAACAAACAAAAATACGTTGTGAAAGCGCGAATAAAACTTATACATCGGATGGACATCACGTTGAAACACCGGTTCTCGTAAGCTCACCAAAGTTAAGCAACGTCGAACCTGGTCAGTATCTAGATAGGTGGCCGCTTGGGAATACCAGATACTGTAAACTTGGATGCGCGGATGGTGTAATGGATAGTGGTTCGGAATTGTTAATCGGAGAGCCGAGTTCCAGTTTCCGTTGAGTTCGTTATATTCACTTACGCGCAAATAACCTATGAATACACCTCTTCTCCCTCAGCTATGAGTGAATTAATAAAACTTATATCATTATTAACTATTATTATCCAAAAAAAATCTTACAGTCTAAAAGATTTTTTGGCTTCAAATAACCTGAAAAGTGCCGATAAGCCATAGAAAATGGATCAATCAGCCAATTAATCAATACATCGGCTGGAACAACAAGACAAAGGCAATGTGTAAAAAATATCCCTCGTTTATTTTTTGTGTTGCTGAAGAGATGGAGACGTTACTTTGGGATTTGGGACCCACCGATGCCACTTTTTACCTAATGAACTAATGGACATTAGAAATGCATGTGGTGTACTGGACAGCAGCTAAGGTCAGAGAGTCAAGGTCGAATTCCAGTCGAATTCATTACATTCACTTACGCGCAAATATACTTAGGAAAGGTGTGAGTTTCTTCTCCCCTAAGTTATGGGCTAAAAAGCAAGACAAACTGGGTTCTCTAGTCGTGGTTGGCAACCAGTCTAAGAGAAGGACAACTCTGGATTCAAAACCATAACAATTGTCCATGATCACCGACTTTCAACAATGAGGATGAGAAGAAGCAACAACAAAAAAACTTCTAAAACATGCCACATAGTATACTGTTACCTAATTATCCTTTAAATACAATGACAGAGGTATTGTCCGGTAAACGGATCCCTTGTTCCCAGATAAATTGGTCACCAGGACTAAAAGTTAACCCGAATAACTCTGTTATTATATCTGGTTTATTGTTGTCTGTAACTATTAACTGCAAAAGGAAAGAATGAATGTCCGCCTGCTAGAGGAACGGTAAAAGGGGTGAGCTATGAATTGGAGGTGTCAAATTCAAACAGGTACAGAAGTTTAACTATCTCGGTAGAGTAAATAGTATACCCCCGGTGACTATATGAACTAGTCCATAACTCTAAATAAATAGCTCCACAGCAGAGGTAAGAAAAGAAAAAGAAGCCGTTTGGAGTTAGTCTTCAAACTAAGCCATAAAGGCGTCACGGCAAGTTGCCGAAGCATTACTTATACAGGGTTATTCAGAAAGAATTAACCGATTACATTACGCAATATTTTAATAAGGTAAAGCAATAGAAAACTCCAACCAAGTCACAAATATTCTACTTACAATCAACTTTTATTTCCTGTCTTACAATTGTTCAATGTGGACACCACCAGCAGCACGGGCAACATCAATGAGATAAGAGAATTCCTCCCAGACGCATATCAGCATATCACGATCCACTGAGTTGATCGCTGTTATTATTCGATGTTTAAGGTCATCGAGGTTTGTGAGTAGCGGTGGAACATAAACACAACCTTTTACGTATCCCCACAAGAAAAGATCACAGGCAATGAGGTCTAGGGATCTCGCAGGTTAAGCACAAAGAGCAAAGTCTTGGTAAGTGCCTGAATGAAGCTTAGTCTGTAAGGTTTCAAATGTAAACGCCTTAGCATACGCCAGATAGTGGATTGAGAGATCACAAGCTCACGGCTAGCTCGATTTGTGGACTTCTGTGGATTCCCCTCAAACGCAGCACGAATTTTCACGTGTTCCTCCGAAACTCGTGGTTGTCCTGGACTTTTTCCTTTACACACACACTTACTCTCTTGAAACTGTTTAAACCACCGTCGAATGTTCTTAGAAGAGGACAGATTAATGTCGAATTGACTTGGAAAAGCACGTTGCACTGTGACAACCGTATTTATTTTCGCTAACTCGAGAACGCAGAACGCCTTTTGCTGAGGACTCACCATTCCGGGGCTAAGCAAACAACTGAACGTTGCTGAAGATACGGCGCGTCTACAGCGCTCCTGTGGCAGCCATTCAAAACTTAGAAAACTCCTTTTTCAAATGGTCACTGACTCATTCTATGACGATGCTTGAAAAGAGAAGCAATGCGTCATGATATCGGTCATTTTTTTTTTAATAACCCTGTATTATAAGCGCTACGAAGCGTGTTATAACAGTGGCACCGTAACAAATGACCAAAAGTGTGACTCAGATATCCGAAGGCGTTTTGGAATAGCGAAGGATACTTTCAGAGCCTAACATTAAGTGTTAAGATACAGTGAAATGTCTTCAGAAACAAAGAAAAGAGTTCTGAATTACTACAGATACCCTTATATATAGCAGTGAAGATGTAACTTGAAGCAACCGAGATGTGGTTCTACAGAAGGATGCCAGGGATATCATAGACAGAACGTGTGAGCAACGAGGAAGTTTTAACGAAAACTGAAACGAAAAAGACACATACTTACAATTAGAGACAGTTGAAATTTCTGAAACACGTAATGAGGAGGAAGGGTTCATATTGGAAACAAGGGGGACAGAAGGAAGCAGCGAATAGCCTACCTAGTGAATTTATGTAATTAGATGACAGAACTGAGAAAGATAGGGATGCTAGGGGACAAGCTACAAATAGTAGGATGTTGTGATGAGCAATGATTGTTCACACCCTGAGAGGACACGGCAGATAGAAATGCATTGGCATTAATTGATAGTTTATGTATGAAGTTAAATGTATGAAAGGATAGAATGACAAAGAAGTTGCACATTGGAATGGTCTGAGTTCAAAAGCGAAAATACTAAAAATAATAATAATTACTGCTGGAGGAGAAGGCCTTCAAAATCGACAAGAATTTTTTTTTATTTATAGATTTTGCAAGTGTAACAATATAAAGTAGTTTCAAATATCCATTGACGTAAAATACAATACAGGGTCGTTTTATGCGAGTAGAATATCTGTTTTTGAGACACAGGGATGCAAAATAAGCGACAAGGTCGTTTATAATTCTGATAGGTATAAAAAAAAAGATTAGGTTACACAGACTTTTCTGCAGTCATCAGGACGTAACATCATTTTCTCAGTCACCAGATTAATTTTGTTAGCAACCTTCCCGAAGACAGGAGTGATTCAGAAGAAGCAACAAGTTCATTTAGAATGTTGGTAGATGCTACAAATGCCTTTACTGCAGGCATCAGGATGTAAAATTAATCTTACATCTCTTAGTTTCATGTTGAGATGTAATCCAAGGGAAGTCTTTCTGGTCACCAGATTACTTTTGCTATCAACTTTCACGAAAGTAGGGTGATCTAGAATATTTGATTCAGTAAACTCTTCGAGTTTATTAGAAACCTTTGCTCAGCGAGTTTATTAATATTTAATGTTTATCAAGCACGATAAATATAACATTATGTCCCAAAGAAATGGAAATCAACAAGTGTTTTAGCAGACTTTTATGTTTACCAGACTCCGTGATTCCATTAAGCAAAATAAAATAAAATTTTGTAGTATGTAATTTGTCTTGACGTAGAGCAATGGTTATGAAGTCTCGCAGTAGTGAGTTTTGGTGCTCCACTATAAAGGCCTTATATCAAACTCATTTAAATTTAATTATTACATATAACAACTACAGTATATAGATATTCATCCCTCGAAAACACCAGAAGACAAATAGGAAAGAGGAAAAGAGACCAAAGAAAAGCCAGAGCTCTCCATCCCTTGAACACTCCTAACGTACAATGCGGTGGCTGCTAACGTCTCTTCAGATCCAACATAGGTCTCATTTCGCACAGAATGAAATGTCGATGATGAGCACTCCAATACTCGGCAACGAGTTCCGCCAACGACGATATAGATATTCATTCTGATTTCAAATTCAAACAAAGGTAGGTCTCTCTACCATATTTAATAATAAGCGTTTGAAAATAGTAGTACCGATGAAGCACTTTTATTATTATTCTCCACGCTCTGGGTTGAATTCACTTTTTACTATTAAACTAAACACCACGAAATCGGAATTAAGAAGTATTTCTAACAACCACTCCGCACTGCTGGAACCCCTCTTTAATGTCTAATCTACTTTGGCAACGGAAAACTGAAAATTAATCTCGCTACAAGTCTGTCGTCATTTGGACACCGCCTCCCTCTTCCGATGTTTACGCTATTATGTTATCCGACACAACGACAGTAATCTTAAGTGAATTTTGATTTTTTTTTCAACTCAAGCATTTGCATCATTTTATCATTAGTTTTTCTCCATTTGTTTAGTTTAGTGGATGTTGAGAATGTGTAATGGATAGCGCTCAGAATGAGAAATCGGAGAGCTGAATTCGAATTCCAGTCATCTTGGTTGCATTCACTTAGACGCAAAAACTCTTGTGAAAGGTATGAATTTATTTCCTCCCCGCAGCTATGGCTTAAATAGTAGGTCTTGCATTTGGAAAAACCATTGTTATTCTCAAAAGGTTTTAACACAATATTCACTTGCAAAAAAAGGATTATTCTTACGATCCAAAATATTGCAGCTTTAAATAACCCACAGAGGACTGATAAGCTGTAAAAATCAAATCAACCAATCAATGTTTACATTAACAATCGAAGAATGTATAAATCCAGTAGGCTTTGAGAAAAAAAACTGGTGATAAAACTAGTAATACCAGTTTACTATATAATATGCCAAGTGTTTATGTTTGTAATGTCTGTAACTTTTTGTTGTACTGGAGTTATTCCCCATGCACATATAAAATAGACCGACCCCGGGAAAGAGCGTAATACAACAAAAATAATTGGGGAAAAAATTCATATATATCGTTATTTTTGCGGCATCGCTAAACTATTGATAGTAATGATAGCTTTCTTAGTCATCATTAATAATAGTTTTATGATACATTATCTAGGGTTTATCAGGTATTTGAGAACACATCTCAGCGGGATATAAATGGAAGATGATCTCAGGTAATATTTCGCGGCATGCACCAAATTTTAATATATTTCTTTCTTCTGCGAGCATTAATATCAAAGCTTCCAACCTGACACAGGAAATGAGAAGACACTCTGTGCTTGCAGCCTGAGCCGTCAACCACAGCGACGCAGATATAGCCAGCTT